TCTGGTCCACCTGGGGGCGATTTCCGTGCCTCGGACGAGGTCCCACGGCAGCATGAGAACCGTTGCGGACCTGTGGGGACTTCGTTGGCCGGCCCCATCCCCACCTGGCCGTGACACTCCTTAGGTGACCACCTTCCAAGGTGGTGGTGGTGGTGGTGAGGATCCATCCCAGGGAGAAAAGGAGAGCCGTTGCCTTGAGCTCCCTGGAGGAAAGGTGGAGCGTAAATGTAACAAACAAACATGAGTTTTGAAGGAGTTAACTTCAGTGCTAATTGGACCACTTGGCAACTTGGGTTGCTTCTGTTCTCACAGAGGCATCGTCCTCTGATTCGGTGCAATTTGGGTGAAGAGCACCCATCCTTGCCACTTAAAGCTCGGCAATGTCGACCTTTAGCCTTAAGGCTGCTACAGTACTTAAAATATACTTTACTCAGAAATAAATGCCACTGTTTTCTCAGAAGGACTTCATAAGGCTCATTTTCGTTAGAGAGGGAGAGAGATGTTTGGGGTTGATCATCTGTTGTGAGAAGGGTTCAGGGACTGGTCAGCTAAGGAAGGAAAAAAATGGAGGAGAAAGGAGTGCGTCCAGAGAGAGGACACAGCTGGACCCCTGAAAAAGAACAGTCCCTATGGCAAGATCTTTTATTGCAGATCTTTTGTTGCAATCTTGTGTTTAGCCTTCAAGGGGCCACTTGACCCTGTCAAGATCAGGGCTCTGAATGGAAGTGGGGTATATTCCATCTATGTGATGGGTTTAGGTATTCCCTTACTTAGACCATGGGCTGCTTGTAGAAGGGGCCACTTGACCCTGTCAAGATCAGGAGCTGCTCTGCTCTGAATGGAAGTGGGGTATATTCCACCTATGTGATGGGTTTAGGTATTCCCTCACTTAGGCTGATTGTACTTATGTTACTACTGTAGTTTGTTTTTAGTTAAGTGCCTTCAGGTCACAAATGACTTAGTAGCAACTCTGTTGGGATTGTCAAAATATGAGGGATATTTTAGGAGCGGTTTTACTGTTGCCACCACCACCTACCCAGTGAGTTTCTGGGGCTGTGTATGGATTTGAACCTGGGTCTTTTGTGTCCTAGTCTGTCACTCTATCCATTGCACTACACTGGCTCTCATTGATAATAGTTGTTAGCTGAGCTTCCAGATGCAGTACAGACCTACAATTCTAATCAGTCATTGCTGGGATGTTTTTTCTGTTTATTTGGCCATTCCTAATTCTAGTGCTATTTTGCATAGTCACAGGCCACTTCTGTACAATATCTGTAGGTTCTCTGGAAAGTGTTTCTTATCTATGTTACTATGCAAGGGAGCAGTTTCAAAGAGGGAATACAACTGGGGACGGTGGGCTAGTCCTACCCTCCCCACATGCCAGAAATGCTTCCTTCTCCCTTTGGATGACAGCTAACTTTTTAAGAAGCCCACATTCCTTGGTAGCTGTGGGAGCTCCCTGCCCAAGCCATAGTCACAATTTCAGGAGAGGATATTTCCAGGACAATGCTACTAAGAAGCCCTCTCTACTTTTTTTTCCCTTCCCCTGCATCCTGCCCACCTCCATAGCAACCCTGTGTGTGTATTGGGAGCTTAACCGGTGGAGTCAGTTTCCAACAGGAAGGGGATGGGCGATGATAGGACAGAGAGAAATTGCAGATTTTTAATGAAGATGAACTGCTGATTTGGGCTGATCTGAGCCTTGGTGCAAATTAATTCAATAATTTATCTGAGATGATTTGGCAGGCAAATTAATTTGCTGTCTTTGCCTTCCATGAAATAGAAATGCATCCTAGTAATTATTTCTAGTATATATAGATGTAAATTAGCAGCATCTGCACATCTTAATCCAGACTTCTATGGCTCTGGCTCTCAAATCAAAGCTGAGCAATGTCCCTGCTGCTTTTGTCTCAAAACCAGCCCAGTTCTTTGTCTTTTGGGCTTTTGTTCGCAGGGATTGAGCGAGGCTCTTCTGAAGATGTGGCAGCTTGGCACCGGATCCCTGTTCTTTCCCATCCTTCTCGGACTGGTGGCAGTGTCTGCTGCTCCTGCTCCCGACAACACTGATGAAGACGAGCAGCCCAGGGAGGAGGTTCTTCTGAGCTTTCCCAGAGATGAAGCCAGTCTGAATGAAATGTTCCGTGAAGTAGAAGAGCTGATGGAAGATACTCAGTACAAGCTAAGGAATGCCGTCAAAGAGGTGAGGTGCTCCCTCCAAAGCGGTTTGTATAGTTTTGGAAAGCAGCAACTTTGAGCAGCTCTGCTGAGTCTGGAACTGGGCTGCCGTCCCCAGAAGCTTATGCCAAATAAAATTATTATTCTTCAAGGCACCACAATGTTCTTTTTTGGTGCAACCAATTAACGTGGTTAGCTAACTGCCCCCTCCAGCATCTATCATTGTTACTAAATTAATCATAGCCATTCTAGCAGAAAGGGTTGTTTTGGGTCTGACTGGGAACAAGGGAAACCTGGAGATACTGTGACTAGAGCTTCACATTTTGAGTGGTTTGCTGTACTTTTTGTCACTCGGAGCACTAATATCTTCAGGATAGAAGTGGTCTGGGTTTTGTATTATAATGCCTCTGTTGATTGATTGGTTCTCCTGAGCTGCTTGTCTGGGGAATGGGGGTGCTGAGATTTGAAGCATCTGAAATAAGTTTCCTGCTGTCTCCGTGTTTCAGTAAGGGTGAAAAGTTACTTCCATTCATTTCTAAATGGCCAGGGTTCCAACAGCTGGGTGTTATTTATACTTGTTCTCTACAACTTTTAAAAATTTCTGCAGGGTAGTTTCGAAGGATCTAGCAGCATATCCTAGTCTAGCTTTTGTCAGTCATGGTAACAGATGCCAGAACCATCAAGGCTGGGGAAAGGCTGGAGGGGAAATCAGACCAGCCACTGTAATTCTAAAAGGTGTACCATATGAAAAAGGCTAATCTCATACAAAGAAAGTATTCACTTTTGTTCCCATGAATTCAGGTGCAGCCTTTGAACAAGCAGGCTTTAGGTCCTGTCCACAAATCCCTTCTTTAACTTGGCACAAAGAGAGAGTGTATTTCACTTCTGATCCTGCTCCCATTTTTCTTTCTTTGAGGTTGAATGTCTGTCTTCTGATTAGTACTGCTAGGGTGGAGTGTAGTTTGAACTTGTTTCCCAGCCTCATTAACTATTTTGTCAAGGTGAAGGGTTTGCTGCAACTCTTTATCCTGTCACAAGCTTGAAAAACCATATGGAGTCTCCCTAGAGTTAATTTAATGACGGATACAATAAGCAGGGAGATAACAGTCTACTTCCTGAACAATGTTGCTAAGCTTCCTTTGCAGCCACATTAAACTTTACGCACATTTTTACATTGCCATTAAGTTTTAAGAGTTTCTAAATTACTTTTTCTCTGGCTGGTATAGAAAAGGAAAATGGTTTATTAACTTTGTTCCCTCCTCCCCCCCCCCAAAGTAATCTTCCACCAGTATCATGATGGTAGGAGAGTGGCCAGAGTTGTGTTCTGACTGGCAGCAAAGACCCTGACAAACATGATAGGGAAGATTCACACACAGAGCATTCTAATAAAAGTCACCAAATTGTACTTGGGCTGCTGGGTAGGGAGGAAAGTTGTTATTCGCTTCCTAACTTGCTGTCTGTCAGGTCTAAAGCTGCCTATTCGAGAAGACTTACAAATGCTAGATTGTTTGCTATTCTCACAGGTTAAATGGGAGTTTGGTGGCAGGTAAAGGTAAAGGTTCTCCTTGACAATTTGTCCAGTCGTGTCCTACTCTAGCGGGCGGTGCTCATCTCCGTTTCCAACCCATAGAGCTTGCGTTTGTCCACAGAAAATCTTCCGTGGTCATGTGGCCAGCGTGACTAGACACGGAATGCCGTTTACTTTCCCACTGAGGTGGTACCTATTTGTCTACTCGCATTTTTACATGCTTTCAAACCGCTAGGTTGGCGGGAGCTGGGTCAAGCGACAGGGGCTCACTCGTCAAGTGGATTCGATCTCTTCTGACCTTGCAGCACAGAGGATCAGCAGTTTAACCCGCAGTGCCACCACGTGAGAGGTTAAATGGAGGGCAGGGTATACAGCAGTGGTTCCCAGCCTTGGGTTCCCATATGTTCTTGGACTATATCTCCCAGGAATTCTGGCCAGCACAGCTAATGCTGAAGTCTTCTGGGATGTTTAGTTCAAGAACATCTGGGATCACTGGTATAGAGAATGGATTAATTCCTTCCTCTAGCTTAAGGTACATGACCTCCTAAAGACTTGCTTTGTTAAGCCACAAGCATTTGCAGACTCTTGCATATCCCGTTGTGGGTAAACTTCAGAGTTTCGTAGTGCATGGAAATCATGGAGTTATATGGTCGGAAGGATCTACAAACAATGAAGAAAAATCTGACATGTTGAAAGACTTTACAGCAGGGAACAGTGATTTCCAGAGATCCAGGAGCCACACATGGTCATCTCTGGAGCTGGGAGGACCACCTCTCCTCTGTTCCCCCCATCATTACTAATTTGTTTTTACTGGGCCCCCTTGTGCTCTCTAGTGAACAAAATATTTAGCTTTTAAAATTTTTATTTGGGGCTGGAGAGCTGGGTAAGTTCTGGAATTCTTCAAAATATGGCAGAACTGCCTCTCAGGCCCCCACTTTCAAAATCTGGAGGCTAGGGGCAAAAGCCAGAGAATGCATTTTGGTCCCTGCGCAGGGCAGGAATTTCTTTTTAGTTTGCTCTCCCCAAGCCACTATTTTTCAAAGTAAGACAGTTGATTCTTGCACAGTGGTTAAACTGGAGGAGTTATAGTGCTGAAGAGGGAGCCACAGAACTTTGAACAAATCTGCACTGTGATGTGTGTAAGCACACTGCTGAACACAGGCTGCACCAGTTTACACTATTATGCAACTGTTTTTATATTTTGCACAGTATTCAAGTCTTTGATCAGCACCACATTGGGTTGGATTTTACATTGTTGTTATTAATAAGTGCCTGTATATGCCATTGACTTTATCAAATGGTATCTTCAGAGCTTCTGGTTTAAAGGATTAGGGTGTTTTATGTATTTAGGTAGCTGACCTTTTTTGAAAAGACTTTGAGAGTTAATGAGCCTCTTTGGTAACAAATTACAGTAAAAGCAGTGTAGAAATTGAATGGAATTTAGGGATATCTGCTTGAAACCAGACAGCGTGCGTGTGTGCGTGCGTGTGTGCGTGCGTGCGTGCGTGTGCGCGCGCGCGCGCGCACGCACGCACACACACACCACCCATCTGGCAGCCAAGGCCATTCTGAGATTTGACAAATAACAAAAAACAACAGAGTAACACAATAGCAAATAGTGACATTAATACATGGGGTAAAAATCATAAAGTGAGGATAAAATTATAATACAATTGATACAATTAAAAGCATAGAAAAAATTAAAAACATGAAGCATGGCAGTATGATAGAAATTATATTATTGGACACCATTGTATCAGAGTGTAGTTTATTCAGGAAAGGCCCGTCTAAATAGCCAGGATTTTAGTAGCTTTTTGAAGGTGCCCAGTGAAGGGGCCAGTCTGACTTTGGGCAGAAGAGCGTTCCATAATTGTGGCACTACCGCAAAGAAGGCCCGATTTCTAGTGGTTGTTTTCCAGGCCCCTCTCAGGGTCAGAACTCTCAGCCGCCCTGCCTGCAATCATCTTATAGGATGAGCAGACCTAATTAGAAGGAGGTGGTGGCCAGATATCGAGGTCCCAAGCCATTTAAGGCCTTATAGGTTAGTACCATCAGTTTGAAACTGGAACGGAAGTGAACAGGTAGCCAGTGTAAGGCAGCCAGGGTGGGGGGGAGATATGTTGGTATTTTCTAAGCCCACTCAGAAGTCTGGCCGCTGCATTCTGGACCCATTGCAGTCTCTGTAGTAGTACCAAGGGCAGCCCCATGTAGAGAGCATTACAGTAATCTAATCTCGAGACTACCAGTGCATGGACCAGCGTAGTAAGGGACCCAGTGTCGAGGTAGGGACATAGCTGGGCAATCCACTTTAGGTGGAAATAAGCTGAGCAGACCACAGACACTATCTGAGATGTCACTGTTAGTGATGAGTCCAAAAGCACGCCCAAGCTACAAACTTTATCCTTCTTAGAAAGAGTGCCCCCCCAAAAGAGAGGGAAGCACCCAGACCACAGACACTAGGGGCCTCCACCCACTCCAGTCCACCCACAGGATTTCAAGCAGATGTATATATAAAATGAATTTTAAAAAGCATGGTATTTTATGAATTAAAAAGCATGGCAATATTTGTTAAAAATTGCTGATTTGTTTAATATTTGTCCCTTCGTATCTGTCAATTCCAGAGACACCAGCAAATACAAAGGGACAAATATTTCTCGATTTTTATTCAAACCCCCCCCCCATACGCAGAGAGGGAAGGCTAGCCCTCCGCTCCCACAGACTTCCTCCCCTTCCCCTCCCTCCTTTGGTTGCTGTGGCCTCCGTCCTCCACCACTGCCAGCTTAGCAAAAAGCAAGCTGCTGTAAGGGAACCAGAGCCACCCTTAGGGCAGGGAAACAGGAGCAGCCATCTTTGCAAAGGGCAGCCCAGTTTCCCTTATGAAAGGTCTTGGCAGTGGAGTCAGGCCACAGTGCCGAGATGCGCTGGATGGCAGTGGTGCAGGCTGTGGCATCAGGCCATATCGCTGGGCTATGGTGGCAGCAGATGGTGGCGGCCAATGCTACCAGTGCATGGACCAGCGTAGTAAGGGGCCCGGTGTCGAGGTAGGGACGTAGCTGGGCGATCCACTTTAGGTGGAAATAAGCTGAGCAGACCACAGACGCTATCTGAGATGTCACGGCCAATGTAGGGAGGTGATGGGGGCAGTGGGAAAGGGGCAGGTGGTGGGGTGGGCTCAGCTTTTCTTTTTTAAAGGCAGCTTTGGGTCATCTAAAACAAGAACCGACAAACTGATTCATGGTTCATCAGTTCAAGGGTAAGAAATTAACGGTTTATCAACCTTGACAGACCATGAACAAGGACGAACAGCCATTTTGGTGATTCATCTCCATCCCTGCTTGAAACATATCTATGGGACTGCATAGCCCATGATGGGTGTGAGAAATTTGTGGCCCTCCTCATTGTTGCTTTTGGTCTATCTATTTTCTCAGCCCTAGTATAGCCAAATGTGAAGGAGGATAGGAGTGTGGCATGTTTCCAGTCTTGACTGATGCATTTGT